ATTACGGCATGCATGTCATTCAAATGGAAGAAAAATTCCAAATTAGAATATTATGTAATAAACTAAAAAATGGATAAAGAACTTGATCAAACACGAAACTGATTAAAAAATCTAGCCAATTGAAACAAATTATCAGAGTCGAATTAAAGTCGTGTACAAATGACTACAGAACTACAAGTCCATCTTTTACTAAATGTGACTGTATATAACTGCAGTCATCTATAGTCATATATAGTTTAACATAGTAAAATTCGTAGCACATCTAAGTTTTAACAGAAGTTTTATATTGCTAATCCCTTCTTAATTCTAAGCGAAATTCTACACCAACAATTAAGTAATAGTTACAATGAAATAGCCAATTATAATGAAATTGTAGCCAAATTAGCTAGCTAAGTCACAGATCTCAACCAAAATCGAAACAAACTAATATATCGACCAGAAATAACACTCTCTGCCACTAATTATTAAGAAGACGAACTAAAAACATACGATTATTTACTTCAAACTGCTACAGTAGGTGACCAACAAGCCAACTTGTGGCTGTAGTCTTTCCATTTATTCTTGTAATAAATAAAACATTTTTCGTATTAATGATAAAAAACACATTGGCATTCTATATTTGTGTCCCTTTGTCACAAGTATAGATATAGTCCTTACAGTTATTACAAGTACTAGTAAATGATCATTAGGATCGTGAGATATTTACTTTAGTATTATGACTGTTAAACGTGTTCCTAGTCGAAGGGTTACGCCACCAATGAGGATATCGGCCTTTCCCATTAAGAGACTAGCACTTAGTGTATGTGTACTGCATCTTATCAGTAAACGGTATTGTGATATCGGCATGCATAAGTGGGTGCTCGTAAGTTGACGAGTTCACTGAACTCCCTCACCCTAGAAATCTCTACGTGGTTCTCAATAATCGAGTAGAGATATCTATGGTATAGTTGTACACCATTAGCCCTTATGACCTAGACATCACCGTGACTTCACTAGAGGACCAGCTGTATCGTGACCTGTCCCTGAGTTCCACCGAGGACCGCCCCAAGGGCCAGTGTTCGTGCAGTCCGAGTGGGAGGTCTGTGCATTGTAGTCGGGGATTCGATCGCTAGAATAGTCTTGGATGTCCTGTGTGTTCTCATAGTTTGTAATATCTAAGTCTCTGGCCAGAGCTGACTAAGTGATGATTAGAGAATTCGATTCTCTAAGTCATGCACGTACCGATTAGAACACTTAGAACGACCGCACAATCATTGAACTACTAAGGAGGTCTCGATGAACCAATACCTCTAGTTCAATCGGGACATATGAATTGAAGGGATCGTACTGTACGTTAACTATATCAAAATGTTCTTGCAGGCACTTCATTTGTATCTAGGGAATCATGACGCGTAGTTGCTAGACGCCAATCTTGATTCGTTGGGTGATTAAGGTGAAACGAGCTTTATCTTAATCGTAACTCTAAGGGACGAGTTTTGACCACAAAGGGTTGTGGGCCCACATCTAGCTTACACCTGAACTGTCGAGGGTCACACTGCTCATGCACATGAGATCTTTGAATAAATGGTTAGAGATAAAAATGTTTTATATTTGCATGATTGGAAATCAATATGATTGGGTCCAACATTCGTAATTCGGAATTATGAATGAGAATAAGAAAAGGAAAAGAATAGGCGAACACCTCAGTGGACTTTCTAAATCGGGAAGTTTCCAAATTTGGAAAGCGCACTGAATTAGGGTTTCCACTTTTAGAAAGTTGGAAATCGAGCATTGGCACTCGTAATGACGATGGCGTTATAATGATTCCAAAAATGTAATCGTTACAATTTTCCGATCATTGAATTGAGAGAAACGAGCGAGTGAAGAACTAACGAACTTAAGTTGTTGGGCCCGGTCCAACTTAAGCCCGTTAGGGCTTTTTAAGCAAGACACTATAAATACTTGGTTTAGAGGTCTAGCACACATACAACACATCTAACAAAACCCTAGCCGCTCGCCCCTCTCTCTCTCGGCCATACTTGCTCATGGCCACCGCCGTCGTTCCACCGCCGGAAATCGGCCTCTCTTGGCTGATCAATCGTGGTAGTTCTATTCTTCCTTTTATTCTTTCCGTTTATTCTAACTATTGCGTGTTTTGTGCCACGTTTTAGTAGATCAAAGTATACGAGGTATAATCCGAGAGGAAGAAGATCGAAGAATCGAAGAACCGAGAAGCAGCCCCGAGCCAACGACGCACGCGCTCCCACGCGCCGCCTGAAGACAGCGCGTGATCGTCACGCGCCGCCGCAGCTCACACCGCCGTCGTTGCTGCATCGCCGTCGCCGCTCCCGGATTACACAGATTGGTTTCTGTGGCAATCTTGCTTCGTTTCGTGCGCCAACCTCACGCTTCAAGAGGTAATTCTCGAATCCGGCATTCGCTTGAAATTAATTTAATTAGATTAAATTATGCATGATCGTTTTGTAGTATGTTTATGAAATATATATTAACATGAATTTCATGATTTACTGCGAGCACGTTATATGATTTAATGCGAGCATGTTAATTGATTTACTGTCGATTAAATATTCGCATGATTGTCGTTTTTAATTTCGCTGGAAGCGCAAAGGTACGCAATTAATTGTTTATAATTATCGGGCATGTGATTATGTGATTTAAACTCGTTTAATTCGCATAATTTTTTTTTTTCCGCTGTATATACGTGTCCGATTCCCAACACAAACATCATAATTGTGCAACTAAAATTGCAAATTAGTTTCTAAATCCTGGTAGTAAAACAAAAAATACAGAAACACGTAATAACTTACACCAGGGGACGCCTAGGTATTCGAAATCCGACTCGAGGCCATTAAATCCAACAAATAATTGGGAAATATGAGCAGAGGAGGAAGCCGAGATGCAAACCAAATCTCGCAAGTAGATAACCAGAGAAGAGATAATCACGATTGCAATCCCCATTATCAGAACGTGTCATATGTTACCCGTGCAGCAGCGAGGGCGTCGGTAACATTGGCGAAGGAAGAGAAGGAAAGAAGCGGCAGAGAGAAGACATCGAGAGAAACATATAGGGCTAGGGTTTGGGAACGTGGTTGAATAACTGATTTTATAAGGGCAAAACAGGTATTTCAAGTTATCCAGGGGTCTGTCAAATTAAAATTAGAATTTGAGTTTTTAACTAAGAAAGAAAAATCCATAGGACCTATCCCTATATATATTTTCAAAACTAGGGGCGGGGTCCCACATTTCCCCAATATTATTTTATTGATAGAATAAATATGATTTATCGAGTGTTTCGAAAATTATTTATTCAACTCCTTATAAATATTATTTGAACATACTATTAATTAGTCATATAAGTAAGGATGCAAAATTAATATTCAAAAAACATTTCTTTTTTTCCCTGATGGGAGCGTATTTCTCCGTCTTAGGAGGCCGTTGATTTTTTTCTTCTCTTCTCCCTTGTGTTGTTATTCTTTTCACTACCGATATTAATTCCGTTGTATTTGTCGTGCAGATTCAATCGTGACGATTGTCTTATGTCGTTGGCGGCCGGTGCTATTTCGTTAAATATAGGGTTTGCCGGATAAAACTAGGGTTTTCTCTAGGGATTCAAGAGTTTTGTCTGTTTCTTTTATTATCTATATTATTATTCATTCATTTAATCTGGTTCGGTTAACTTGTGCGTTTTGAGCCCTCGTTTTCTTTCGTGTCGCCATAGGTTTGCCTTACCGACACTCCCCTAGTTCATTTAAGATCTGATCTCATCTCTCTTGCCATGGAAGGGATTATCAAGGACATGGTGGCAGTGATAAATCTCAAAGGACGCGAGACGGAGGAGGTAGATATTGGGCAGGATAATGCGGCGGCAGATTCTGCGGCTATGCCGCTAACCCTAGTTGGTCGGGTCCTTACCAACAGAGAGATCTCAGGACACACCATCAAGTCCAATATTATCCGTCTCTTGAATCCGGGCAGGGGCTGCGAATTTAGCCCGCTCGGCGGAATCGATTCACAATATCGTTTCACCACAAGGTGGATCTGCAACATGCCAAGGGAGGCAGCCCATGGCTACTTGATCGGAATGCCGTAATATTCTCTGATCTTTTACCGTCGTCGGATCCGAAAACAACTGAAATAAACGCTATGCGATCGTGGTCAGACTCCATAATCTTCCGATTGGACAACGAACCGAGGCTAGTGGCAGAACTATTGGATCAAAAATTTGGGAAGTGGAAGAGGTGTTTATGAGTAAAGGGGGTCACTTTTCTGATTACTTGAGAGTCAAGGTACTCCTCGACGTGAAAGAGAGCATTCCACGAGGGGTGTTCGTGCATACAGGAGCGGGGATAAAACAGTGGATTTCTTTTACTTATGAGCACATGCCCAACTTTTGTTTTCTTTGCGGAATCATTGGCCATAATGAAAATAAATGTGAACTCCGATACAGTGAGAACTTCGTTGAACCAGAGGGCAAGTACGAGTATGGAAATTGTCTTCGGGCGGCGATGGGAAGGGATGAATTCAACTCAGGGCTCCCATTGGGAGCGGTGAATACCAACCACAACTGGTCAACGGAGCGTTACTCGGCTTCGGCAATGACAGATGGAGAGAATAGTACTGGTGGGGGGCATACTAGTGGGATTCGGGGGCTGGTTCGGGAAGGTTTAGGAAAGGAGAATTGTCGGCCAGCCTTGGCGGACCTACAGCTGGTGCATATTCCGGTGACCGAACAGAGGCCAATATACACGATTAAAACAATCAACGGGAGGAAGAAGGCGGCTCCATCTCGGGGAAAGAAGAATAAAGTTGACTCTAACGAGGATATGGACGTGAACAGGGATCCCAAAAAACCATGCTTGACCTTAATGGACGAGGATATTATCTTAACGGCGGAGACTGCGGAGCAGTCCCGCCGACAACAATGAATTGTCTATTTTGGAATTGTCAAGGGCTTGGGGGTCCTTTGATAATTCATACATTCGGAGAGATTCTCCGAGTACACAACCCTCAGGTGGTGTTTCTCTCCGAAACCAGAGCGACACCACAGTTGATTGATAGGTTAAAACAACGGTGGAATCTATTTGGGTTTGCTGGCGATCGTACGACCAATGGCGGGGGGTTAGCATTACTCTGGAGCAAAGATGTGGCAGTTGATTTGAGAGCATATTCGCAGAATTTCATTGACGTGACGGTGGAATGCCTTGTGAGTTTTCAAAAATGGAGGTTAACCGGCTTCTATGGTTTTCCGGAGAAGCAAGGCAAACGTCTGTCGTGGGAACTTCTTCGCACACTGGGAGGGCAATACCAGTTACCATGGATTGTGGGGGGTGATTTTAACGAGATTCTTCATGCATCCGAGAAGATGGGAGGACCAGCTCGTGAGCCTCATTCCATGGAGATTTTTAGGGAAGCTCTTGACGATTGCGGGCTTTCGAACATTGGATGGGAGGGCAAACAGTTTACCTGGACCAACAATCGCGAACATCCGCATACTGTTCGGAGCCGTCTGGATAGAGTTTGTGTGAACGGGTCGTGGGCGGGTCTTTTTCCCCATGCAGTAGTCCGACATCTTGATCACACTGGATCAGACCACTCGCCAATCTTATTGATTCCACAAGGGATGGAGCCTAGAACAAGACCTGGGAGGAAGAGGCCCTTCCGTTTCGAGGCAATGTGGGCAAGTAGGAGTGACTGCGAGGAGATTGTTCAGCGAGCGTGGGAATCAGGGCAGGGGTCAGATGAGGTGTTAACGCTATTGCAGCGTACTACGGATTGTAGGATGGCTTTGATGCAATGGAGCAAGGCTGTGGTCAGGGCTCCCGACAACGAGATTAAAGAAATCATCCAAAGAATTAATGAATTGCGTGACATGCGACAAACGGCGACTACTAGGGCTGAATATCGCGAACTTCAAGGTGAGTTGGAGAAATTGATGGGGGACCGTGACATGTACTGGAGGCAAAGAAGTAAGGCTCAGTGGGTGAGAGACGGGGATAGAAATACTAAATTTTTCCACGCCCGAGCGACGAGCAGGAAAAAACAAAATCGGGTGGACAAGATCCGCGACCAGTTCGGTAATTGGCAGAGTTCTGAGGCAGGAATTGAGAGGGTTATTCAACAATATTTTGACCATATTTTCAGCTCTTCTAATCCGTCGGAATTTGAGATGGATGAGATCTTAAATGAACCTGAGCCAAGAGTGGGGAGCGAGGCGAACCAAAGGCTGTCTCTGCCATTTACGGCATTGGAGGTAACTTTAGCTCTTTCACAAATGTCTCCCCTTAAATCCCCTGGTCCGGATGGTCTTCCGGTTTTCTTTTTTAACAAATATTGGAAAATTATTGGTTCTAATGTTACCTCCTGTGTCTTGAACCTTTTGAATAATCGGCACCTCCCCAATAGTCTCAATTTCACTTTTATTGTGCTAATCCCAAAAAAATTGAAACCTGAGCGTATTACTGAGTATCAACCCATTAGCCTCTGTAATGTGATCTATAAGATTGGGTCTAAAATAATTGCTAATAGACTTAAACCGCTTTTGAATTCTATCATCTCACCAACCCAATCGGCCTTTGTACCGAACCGTCTTATCACGGACAATATTCTGGTTGCCTACGAAGTGAATCATTTTATCCGAACATGCCCTAATCGAACGAATAAGCATATGGCTGTTAAACTTGACATTAGCAAGGCTTACGATTGAGTTGAATGGACTTTTCTTCGGAAGATCCTTACCAAATTCGGTTTCTTGCCTAATTTTATAGATCTCATTTTGATTTGTGTATCAACTGTCTCCTACTCTTTTTTATTCAATGGTTCACAATTTGGTTTTGTCTCCCCTTCTCGGGGATTACGACAGGGTGATCCTCTTTCGCCCTATCTCTTTTTATTTTGTGCAGAGGTGCTCATCTTTATGATACATGAGGAGGTAGCAAGGGGCGAACTTCATGGAGTTAAGGTGGCCCCGATGGCGCCGGTTATCACCAACTTATGCTTCGCAGATGATACTCTTATCTTCTGCCGAGCATCGGAAGGAGATGCCAAAAGTTTGAAGAGTGTGCTCAGGCGCTTCGCTGGGATATCCGGGCTTGAAATTAACCAAGAGAAGACACACATGAATTTTAGCCAACAATCCCCGTTGGAGCAGAAGGATCGTATGCAGCAGATTCTAGGATTCCAGGTAATTGAAAAGCACGACAAATATTTGGGTATGCCTGCTTCGCTGGGGCGAACCCGGAAAGAGGTCTTTGCATATCTTAGGGAACGACTTTGGAGCCGAATTAAAGGTTGGGGGGGAAAACATTTATCGCAGGCTGGTAAAGAGGTACTCATTAAAGCGGTGTTGCAAGCAATTTCGGCGTTCATCATGAGCTGCTTTATGCTTCCGGCAGGGCTCTTATCAGACCTTGAGGCGGCCATTAGAAGATTCTGGTGGGGTAATGGAGTGGGAAAGAGGATGAATTGGATTGCATGGGACAAAATGTGCCGCAGCAAGAGGGACGGGGGGATGGGTTTTCGGGATTTGAAACGGTTTAACTTAGCGATGCTATCAAAACAACTTTGGAGAATTCTCACATCTCCAAACTCTCTACTGTCACAAATACTCAAGGCTCGTTATTTTCCCCAATCGGATATTTTTCACGCTACACTGGGTTCCAGGCCTTCGGCAACTTGGCGGAGCTTCTTGCTTGCTCGTGATGGTTTTATTCAGGGACTTCGTCGGAATTGGCAACGGACGGGATACCTCTATTTGGGGGGAGGCATGGCTCAGAGAGGATGGTAACTCGCGAATCATTACCAAACGGCCGATGACGACACATTTTCCAGATCGGGTCTGGGATTTGCTGGACCATACTACCATGCAGTGGAATGTGGGGTTGATTATGCAGACCTTCTGGCCAGTTGACCATGAAAGAATTCTCTACTCCGGTGGGGTACTCCGGTGGGGTGTCCTTCAGCGAGCGATAGGTGGGTCTGGAAGTTCTCCCATAATGGGCGATTCTCGGTGAGGTCGTGCTACTTTATGTTGCTAAACTCGGGGTTTGGGACGAGAGAAGGAATCCAGGGCAGCAGGGGGGGGCAGTGGGGACGATCCTGGAAAGCGGTGGAAACTCCTGTGGGAACTTCGAATCCCACCAAAGGTGCGGGTGTTTTGGTGGCGAGCATGCTCCGATATTATTCCAACTGCAGCTACGTTATTCAGACGGAGGATCGCATCGTCGCCGTCTTGTTTCCGCTGTGGGGAACGGGTGGAAATATTCATACATGCGGTACATGGATGTGCGGGAAGTCGACAGGTTTGGAGTGGAGATGTATTTAAATTACGCCCGATCGCGGATTCTTGCTCGACGTGGCAATGGTTCAATCATTTGAGTGAGATGCTGGGAAAGGACAAACTGGAGATGGCTACCATTGTTACGTGGAAACTTTGGGAAATTCGCAATCGGAAATTACATGGTGAGTTAGCTATGAATTTTTCGGAGGTGCTGAGTTGGTGCGACAATTTCTTGGCCGTGTATCGGCAACAATTACAACCTTCTCCCCTGTCAAGTTGTGTAGAACGTACGGAGGCTTGGATTCCACCGCCGCCAGGCTCACATAAGGTAAATTTCGACGCGGCCTTTCCGGTAGGTTCAGACTTTTATCGCATTGCTGCTGTGGCTCGTGACTCTCAAGGAATGTGCATTAAATGGGTGACAAAGCGCATTAGGGGCAGACCTAGCGTGGCCGATGGTGAGGCGCACGCAGCCATGCTTGCGGCAGAATTGGCAGCACGGCACACATGGCGCTCGGTCATCTTGGAAGGGGACTGCAAGACGATCATAGACGCAGCTAACGAGGGCGACTTCCACACATATTCCTTCGGCGCCTACTTGGAAGGAATCTTCAATCTGTTAACATCTGTTTCGCATTTAAAATTTCAATTTGTTCAACGTTCTTGTAACCGTCTAGCTCATTATTTAGCTTCCTTTGATTCTTTTGACTGTTATGAGGGTGACACTTTACCTCCGCATTTAGCCGGTTTGGCATATTGAGTTAATATATGGGTCGTTTCTCAAAAAAAAAGTAAGGATGCAAAATTAAGAATGATAATGCAATTTGAAAATTAAGGTAATACATGATTTGATTGTGATTTGAAATCTATATTGAGTTATAAAAAAAAATAGCAAAACAATGTGTCCGCGCAAATGGATTTGAACACCATCACATAATTATAGCAAAATCATAAACATATGAAATCTAAATAATCTTAAACTGTATTAATACAATCAAGGTAAGAATATTTTTATGATAATTTAGGAAAAGTTCATATGGAAATTAAAGTAAATAAGAATACTAAATTGAATATTATTGACTCCATTTTGAATTTGAAATTGTTAAATGCAAATTGAAATTGAAAATTATCAATTATGAAGCATACTGTTTTTATTTTCGATTTTATGTTTAATAATTTAAAATCAAGTTTAATACGTAAGATAGATCAATGACTTTCTATATATTAAAACAATATTTTGTGGTGATAAATTGGAATTTAATAATAAATCAAAGAAAATCAAATTAAAAAGAAATGAAAACAACGTGGGGTTAAATTTGGAGATATAGATTCCTTAATTAGTATCCTGTCTTTATATATTGTATAGATATAGATGATAATGAATGAAGTGGTATGTAATTTTTTTTTTCTTTTTGAGAAACAAAATCAATTTTCATTGTCTAACACATTTCAAGAGAGATTACAGAATGTATTAATGGTGGAAGATCGAACAAATGACAGCGGCCCTGCTTTGAGAGAGATGCTACTTCGTGAGCCACACGGTTCCCTTCTCAGAGTATATGTTGGACTCTAAATTTTTCAAAATCTTCGCTAATACGTTTAATATCCATTATGATATTTTCATATCTCGCTTGAGAATCAGAGTTCCCTTTATGGCTGAGGTAGCCCCAAAAGAATCGCCATATATGATGATCTTCGACCAATTTCTTTCGCGAGCTAAATGGACCGCCAAAAAAGCAGCTTTTGCTTCCGTCGATGTAGGATCTAGAGGTTGTCTGACACACTGGGTTAACCACCCTAAGCATATACCCGAACTCGATCTACCGATAGCTCCTAATCCACAAACTCCATCCACACAATTAGTTGTTGCATCTAAGTTGATTTTCACCACATCATTTTCCGGGGATTCCCAACGAACCGAGTTTCTATCACTTCGAGCACATTGTTGAAATACGACTGATGTGGCAGCATGAAGTTCTTTTCAGTACTTCTCCGTGACTGCCACAATTTCTACTGCTTCAGTTTGCTTCCCTTAAAAAATTCGTTTATTTCGAGCATGCCAAATAGCCCAGCATAATAGGATTTTTTTTCCAAAACATTTTGGAATTCAGGTTTCTTTCTAACTCCTTACAACCACTTATATACTTCTATTTCCGACGTATGATAGATCATCCGAGGGAGGTCACTCAGTGCCCAAACTTGACATGTGAAAGAGCAATAGAACAAATTGTGTAAAACATTTTCTTCCCTATCGTCGCATATTACGCAACAACAGTCCTCCAGTATCCTTCGGTTCTTCAAATTCGTAGTCGTAGGTAGAAGATTTTAACCGGCTCTCCAAAGAAAGATTTTGATCTTACTAGGGAGGTTAAGGTCCCAAATCCATTTCCAATTCTCTCTATTCGAGAAGTTCGAACTGTTACCTAGCCAACCATGTTCGTCTTGTTCATTTTCAACAACCAGGTGGTAAGCGCTCCTAACCGAAAAAAATACCATTCTTGTTGTAATGCCAAATGTATCGATCCGAGTGCAGTTGATTACCAAGGGGAATAGCCAGAATGGCTTTGCAATCTTCATCGAAGAACATGTCATGAATGATGTCTGATTTCCCAATTTCCCGTTCTTTCGTCGTAAGTTCACAAACTTTCATATTCGACGACCGATCACCTCTAGGTGTAAAGACCTGAAAGGTACTTTCTCTCGGGAGCCATTTATCACCTCACACTTTAACTAGTCTCCCATTACCGATGCGCCAACGAATATCTATTGTAAGCAGTTTTATCGAGTTCCACAAGCTTCTCCAGGTATAGGATGAATTTGAACCCAAATGAGCACCAAGAACGTTTGTAGCCGGGTAAAACGAGCTTTAAGAAGCTTACTCAATACACTATCAGGCTTTTCTAAATCTCTAAAACCATGTCCACCGAAATGCTTACTTTTGCACAACTCCTTCCATGTGGCCCAATGTATGCCTATGCCATGCGAACTTTCCCACCAAAAATTTGCCATATAGCTTTCGATCTCTTTGCAAAAGGTGACTGGTAGTTTAAAACAACTCATTGCATATGTCGGAATTGCTTGGACTACTGCTTTGATCATAATCTCCTTACCCCCTTTAGAGAGCCATTTCTCTTTCCACCATCGAAGCCGTGAACAAATTTTCTCTCGAACATTAGCAAAGACCTACCTCTTTGATTTACCGACAACCGAGGGTAGACCAAGGTGTTTTTCATGCTTTTCACCACAACCATAGGTAGGAATTCCCGAATCCTATCAATTATCTGGAAGTTTGTACTTTTACTAAACACAATACTTGGTTTGTGAAAATTTACTTCCTGGCCTGATGCATCTCCGTACTTTTGAAGGATTTCTTTGATACATTTTGCTAAGTTTTCATTAGCTTTGCAGAATATCATCGTATCATCGGCGAAAGGTAGGTGAGGGACCTTTGGAGCGCCTCTACAAATTGCAAGGCCCGATATATTACTGTTGTTCTCTTCTCGTCGAAATAGCGCACTCAAAG